CGGGCCTGACCCTTGTTCTGGCCCCTGAAAAAACTGCTTTGCTTATGCACTGCTACAAGACAGCGTATATTAAGGTTATATTTTTCTACAATTCTACTACTTATATTCTATGCCCCCCTACATTACAATTTATTTCCAACAATAATTTCATAAAATGAGTAGTTTTGCTCTCTCTTTTTCGATTATTTGGACAAGTTTGTGAATTTGGAATCATTTCTTCTGATAAGTTGTTATTTTATAAAAGTCATACCTGGATTTTGATAGATCTTGAACATAACCAGTGCCATTTTAGGCAAGACCAAACACAAAATGGCCCTAACCCCTCCCCGCTTTCCTTTATGAGAAGCCTCGTGACTTCTGTGAAATAGAAACTCTTTTTGCTTCCACATGGGTGCAATGCCCCTCCTTGATTGCTTCAGCCAGCCCTTGGCGCCCTACAGTCCATATGAGCTCTCCCACCCCCATGCCTGGTGCTGCCCTCCATTTTCACCACAGCCTGGCAGATTTTTTTCCTTTAATAAAGCTTGATCGGTACCCAGTGTTTTGGCTCACTTTCTTTCAGATTTATTTTAAAGAATCAAGAAACCCTACCACTTAAAAATTAGCAGCTCACCTCTCCTCACCTCCAGCATTTTCCTAACAGCATTTTTGTTCCCAAAGGTCTTCACTTTCAACTCTTTTGTCTGATTATTTTGGTATTTATCTCCGTATCTCCAAATTACATGCTTTTATTTCTACTTTTTTATTTTCTAGTCTTAGGCATTATCTATTTGTTTTCTCACAAGGAAAATGAGAACTTGACTTTCTTTCACTCATCCTGAATTCACCCACATATGTGCACATTTAGCTATTGTTAAACTCAGTTGACACTTTGGAAAAGGATAAGAAAAGGCTAAGGGTGGTTAATAAGCTAAGAATAAAGTCAGAGGCCTTCCTCTCCTGTGTCAGGAGGGCAGGGGAAGCTCAAAACCAGGACCAGGACTTGCTCATAAAAGAAGACAATTTTAACTCTGTGAGATGGGACTCCTGTGTTTATCTTTACCACCGACAGACATAATGCTCATAAAAGTTAAATACTCGAGTTAAGATTCAAACCCATTGTCTTCTGAGTCCAATTCCCTTTCTAGCTTCACTTTAGCTGAAGACCTCATATTTTTGTTTCATTATTTCTCACCTCTCTCATCAAGTAAATTCATGCATTAATTTAGGTAAGCAGTCAGGCTTTCCCTGGAACACTGCGGGAAAACAGAAATACTTAGAAGAGGAGAGGGCAGACTTAGCAAAAAATCTAGATGTAAGAAGCAAAGTACTGGGGTAGCAAAGAGGATTTAGTGGAAGAGAAATGAAGATAAATTCATAACATCTTATTTTAATTTCAGTTTTGCAGAATCTTAGGTATTAACTAAAAGCAATTTTCAAAGTGGCACTCACAGAGGGTCCATTGTTAAGATCTGTTTGCTAAAATACTATTTAAGAATTATTTCGGTTGATAACTAGAATGCTTTTTAGAACTAAAATACTATTTTGAGGGGTAGCTTAATTATAGGGTTTTGCACAGTGTTAGACACTATTTTTAAATAACTTAATATAGAGTATATTTGAATTTCATTACTTTAAAAAAGTGCTTGGCAGTAACTGAATCTTCATGGGGGGCAGGACAAGATAAAGTATTTTGTAGCATTTGGCACCATCATATTGTCATTATTCAAGGCAATTGGAGAAGCTAAATATAAGACAGGAATGAATCTGATCTTCTTTAAGAAAGTATTAATATGTTTTCTAAAATTAACAGAAAAAACAGAACAGAGAAAAGGGGAATACTTTTAAGTCTTGTGCTCACTTTTATAGAAACAATAATTCTTCATCAAAATGTTTGACAAAGGACTCCCAGTCATTCTAAAGAGTCTCCATTCATGCAGGCACACATGCATTTATTCAACAAACACTTATTAAAGTTTGCATGGCATCAGGCACAATGCTAACTACAAAGATGAATGAGACACATTTCTTCTCTGCAAGAAGCTCACAGATAATTATAGCATTATGTAGTGAGTGCCATGATAGGAAGAGATAAACAGAGGAGACAGGTATCTAACAGAGCAGGGGTAGGCAAGCATGGTAGGCTCCCTGGAAGAGATGACAGCTGACAGTCTTAGTCTTATGGTTGGATTGGCTCTCGCGCGCGCGCGCGCCCGCGCATGTGTGTGTGTGTGTGTGTGTGTGACTGTGTGATGTGAGATGGAGGTAAACAAATACACATGGTGAGCATTGAGAACCTCAAGCCATTTGATGTTGGTAGAACATCATATATGATGTAGAACAGTCAAGCTTAGGCAGGTAGGCAGATACCAGCTCAGAGAGCTTTATTTGCTTTGTTACTAACAAGTATCACTTACCGAGTGCTTGCTTACTAGGTCCCAAATGCTATCTTAAACATTTTATTTTGTCTTATTTAATCCTTCCATCACCCTACCCTGTGAAGTAAGTACTATTTTATGATCCCCATTTTATAGATGAAAAAGCTGAAGCCTAGTTTGGTTAAGTAACTTGCCTAAGTTCTTGCAGTAAGTGGAGCTAGGATCTAAATGCAGTCAGGCTTCATCCAGAGCCCATGCTCTTAACTCCCACACCACACCTTACTGGCAGCTGGGACCTATCGGAGATGCAGTTTTGAGCAGAGGGCAGCAGTGATCAAGTTGCGAACTAATACCCTGGATTTAAATAAAATGTTTTAATAACTGCACGAATTTAAATTTCAAAAGGAACTAAAATAGGCAGAGCAGTCAGTACTCAGAGGACTTCCCTCTCCAAATAAGATGCAACCCAAATTGAGAACCAAGTCAGAAATTATCATTGACTGGTTAATAAGAATTCGCCTACATGAGATTAGCCAGACAGAGAAAATCTCCCCAAGAAACACCTACCCCTGAAATGGTTTTCAAACGTGTAACCTGTTGATAAAGCTGCTGTGATCTCAGTTAGGTGCTGAGTGTGTCTCCCTATTTGCAGATTTATAGCTGAACATGAACTCTAATCCAGAAAAGAGCAGTGGGTCTACCCTGAGAAGGTGGTGGGTTCTAAAAGGATGCTTTTAGTGCCTGTTAAAGAATATTGATAACAGAAAGGACAATAAAGAATTTGTCTGTTTCTCCACAATAGCTTAGGTCATAGGAGACTTTGATCAATTCATTCATTTATCCATTACAAGAACTGTGGTTCTTCTAGGTATTGAGGATATGTTGGTTGGCAAAATCAGACATGGCCCCCAACTTCAAGGGGAAGGTAGTCAAGTGAGGGAAAAGGATACCACTCAAAGAATCACTCACAATAAATGTGCATTATAACTGTGGTGAATGCTTTGAAGAAGAACAAGGTAAAGAGAGGAAATCCCCTTCTCTGAGAGGCAGGGAAGCCTTCCCTGAGGAGTGAGGACTGAGTGGTGATCAGAAAGGAAAGTAGAAAAAGAGATAACAGAGAGTGCCTGTGAAAAGGCCCTGAGGCAGGAAGAAGACTGTCTGGTCAAGGAATCCAGGTTTCTAGCATCCCTGGTTTGAGACCAGGCTGAGGAGGTCAGTAGGATTGGTCTCTAGATTGGTCTCTAGTAGGCCTGAGAAGACAGATGGGGATTTTGTTCTTTATCTTAAGAACAATGGCAAGTCAATAAAATGTTTTGTGTTTGTGTGAGGGAATGTGTGACATGATTATATCTGCATTATTTCAAAAAGATCCTTGCTGAGGGGAAATTATATTGGAAGGAGGCAAGAGTTTACTACTTTACTCATTCCTTCTTGTCCTGCATTTAAAGAACCTTTATTATGTGTATACCAGTGCTGTCCGATAGTAATGTAACATGGGCCACGTTTATCATTTTGAATTTTCTAGTAGTCATATTAAAACAAGTAAAACACATTAGGTGAGATCAATTTTAGTATGTTTTATTTTACTCAATATATACAAAATATTATCATATCAACATGTCGGAATATAAACAAGTATAAGTGCAATTTTTTTTTTTTTCTTTTTGTCTTTTTTTGTGACCGGCAACAGATTGCAACCCTCAGTGTCGCGCCCGTACCGGACCGGGACCGGCAACGGGATCGCAACCCTCGGTGTTGCCCCCGCTCCTCGCTCAGCCAGTGAGTGGCCGGTCTGCATGTGGGATCCGAACCCTCGGCGGGAGCGCCGCTGTGCTTCCCAAGCGGCGCACTGTAGCAGTGCGCCACCGGGCCGGCCCGATAAGTGCAATATTTTAAGCGCCGCTGCGCTTCCCAAGCGGCGCACTGTAGCAGTGCGCCACCGGGCCGGCCCAATAAGTGCAATATTTTGCACTGCTTTTTTTATACTATCTTTTTGAAATCTACTGTTTCTATCATACATCTCAATTCGGGCACACAATTTTCATCAGAAATACTTGATACATATTTAGATTTCATAAAATTTACAGTCAAAAAGAGGTTTACACACCCAACTTGTTCCAATCTTACTTAAAAGTTTTCGAATAACTGAATCAACTATCAGTTTTTAAATTAAAATTAAGTAAAATTTAAAATTCAGCCCCTCTATCACAGCAGCCACATTTCAAGCACTCAATAGCCATATGTGGTGAATGCTACCATACTGGATAAAGCAGAGGGAACCTCTCCATTATTTCACAAAGTTCTACTGGACAGTGCAGGTCTCTGGTGGTGAGGCCCTAGGCATTCATTAGCATCCCTTTGGAAGACCAAACCCTTCAAAGGTGGTAGGCTCTCTCATCTATGGCAACCTATTTCGATTTAATGACTAAATCCATTCAGCAGCCTTTGGATACTGTATTAGTTCCCAAGAACACCTTCCTACTGAGAAGAAAATGAGCTCACCTGCTGAGATAAATATCTCCTCTGCTTGGCTGTTACATTTCTCTCTTCATGTGAATAAAGACGAGCTTTGAATCCCTGTCCTAGAATATTCCTGAGTGAACTGTCAACATCAAAATACTATCACCTTGTGAGACCTTGTGGAAACTACCAGCTCCTCACAACTTCATGACTTGCAGGGTCTCATCCATATGTAAAGAGCAAACATCGATTTTTCAGGTCTAACAAAAGCAATCACAAAATTAAACAAGCTGCCCAAGTCAATGGCCTTCTGTCTGCTCCTCTTCCTCAGGGGTCTCCACTCCTAACGTGAGCTACAGGCCAGAAAAGAAGGTCCTGGAGAGTAGGTGTGCGGTTGGAATGTCTGGCCCAGCAGGCCCATGAGCCAGACCCCCAGCTGCCAGTCTGCCAGGTGCCGCCCCTCTCCATACAGTCCCTCTCTCCTCCCCCTCCCCCATTTGGTTCAAAGGAGAACAGTAAGATTTCTTTTTCTCTCTCTCAATCTTCGTAAATCCCTATTGAAATTAATTTGGTCCCTCATCTCAACTCTGGGCAAAGAATAATGCTCACACCCTGACTAATCTTTTGCCCTATCTTTCTCCCCCTCTCCTTCCAACCCTATCTGATTCTTTAACAGAACAGATATGAAGAAAACAGTCTGTTCACTTTCCCACCAGAAATGGGAACTCCTGGGAAGCAGATACTAAACGTCTTCTTGCATTTTGTTTTGGGTTTTTTTGTTGCTGTTGTTGTTTTAAATTTTTTTTAAGATTCCCTACATGGTTCCTTATCCATTCTATTCAGTAACATACGAGTTTGTTGCGTTTTGTTTAATAATGGCCAACGTCACTTGAGCATTTACTAAATGCTAAACACTTTACATAGATTCTCTCACTTAATCCTCATAACCACGCCATGACAGATATTATTTGCATCATTTTACAGATTAGCAGACTGAGGCTCAGAGAAGTTAAATAAATTTACCCAAGGTCACAATCTGGTAAGAGGCAGTCAGGAACACTGCCTTCCTAGGATGTTTTGCTACTGTGTTATCTACCGTTTTAAATCTTGACTGAGTTTATGCTTGGTCTAGGAGAGAAAGGTGGGCCCTGCCTAACATTTCCTGCGTCTCTCCTCTTAGAAATAAAGGCAGCTAATCAAGACCCAGACCTGACCCAATTGATATCAAGCTGAAGGGCAGCAATCTGGAACTAACGCCTGCTTCCTCTAGGGTTCTCAATCTCAGCCTTCGACCTGGGCGTGCCCACCGGCTCCCCAGCCTGTTACACTCCCTATTGTTCCGTCCCTAACTTTTGGCAGAATAAAGGCTCAAGTCAAAGATCCAGAACAAGTTGGTCTCAGTCCAGCTTCACTGGGTTTATGCCATTAAGAATAATAATTTGCTTCATCCCCAAAGCGGATAAACCCAAAAGCAGCCCCTTAGTAAAAAACACCGAGTTTAATGTCTCAGGCCCAGAACTGGGTGGCAGACCCAGGAAAACGCGTTCCCGCCCCGGCTCCGCCTCTGTCTCATTTCAGGTTCCAGGCACCGCCCCTCGGCCACTTCCCGGCCTCTGTCCGCCTACAGTTCCAGGCCCCGCCCCTCGGCCGCAGCTCTCGTTACGCTCCTAGGCCCCGCCCCACGGAGGCCGCAGCCAATCGGGGAGCCGCGCCCCCGCCGCGCGTGTCGCCCCCGCTTCCTTGCGGCTGCGCGCCGCCGGCAGTGACGTGCTCCGCCCCACAGCCGCGAGATTCAAACTCCCGGAAGCGACGTCCTCGCCTCAGGGTGTGACCCGGGGGACGCCAGCGCTGCGCTTCGCCTCCGGTGCTGGCTGCCCCAGGGAGGCGACCGTGGAGGGTGTCCAGGGCTACCAGGGCCTGCAGCCCCGGGGCCGGACCGGGCCGCAAAGGACGCGGGGTCGGTGGGCAGATCGCGTCCGAGGGACTCAATCTCTGCCCGCCGTAATATATGTCCCTTTCCCTGGAGCTCCCTTCGGGCCTGGCAGCGGGCTGGGCACCTCACGACCGTCGTCTTTTCGATTCCTTTTGGAGGTAAATGATCTTACAACCCTTTAAGTGGCAGTAAGCTTTCTTAGAAAATAACATATTATGATTTCCTGATGCTACCTCTTATTCTCGCCATTATTGCTGTCCTGTCTAGTTCATTAGTTTTGGAAAGTTGACCTTGGGTTTGGAATCTTAAATTCCTACATTGACTTCACCATCTCTTATACATAACTTTAGTCATTAATAACTTCTTTCACTTTTAAAATGTAATTGTGTGTATTGAGGTTATCACGTACTAAGTTTGTTTCAGAATTAATGACATCTTGAATAATAGTTCAGCACCTTCAACACAATACTATGGCCTGTTTTTACGTTATTTAAAACAAAATAATAACCCAATCCATCATTCCTCTTATAGCTTTTTGATAATTTAGCTTAATAATATGAATATTCATGATAATTTATGTTATGCTATATTTAGGATTGTAAAACATACTGGTTTACTATTTTCACTGTTTTTAAATTGACAGCAAATTTTAAAATTTGCTTTTTTTTTGTAAAAACTTAAAAATTTTTGTGTTTTGGAATACAGTCATATGCCCCACAACATTTCATTCAATGGTAGATCACATATATGATGGTCCGTTAAGATTATAATGGCTATACCACATAGCCTAGGTGTGTAGTATGCTGTATGATCTAGATTTGTGTAAGGACACTCTGTGATATTGGCATAACAACAAAATTACCTAAGGATACATTTCTCAGAACATATCCCTAACGTTTAAGTGGTGCATGATTGTACTATATTATTCATTAATGTGTACTTTAAGGATACTGTGCCATTCTTATATCTTTTTACTGCAGGAGAGGAGAAATTATAAACCCAGTCATTATATAATCTGTTTTTTCTCTTAGTTCACTAAATGTTAAAAATTAAATCTGTTCATTTCAGAGTGTTAAATAGTGTTCAGATTTCCCTGTGAATCTTTAAAAACTCATTTTATCAAGCATACTGGCTACTTTCCAAGTAATGTTTGGTTTCAGGCTTTTGAGGTAAAATTATTGTATGTATTGGCATTTTATATTCTGTTCAAGTATATTTCAGATTCTCTACTTTACAATTTGTTATGGCATAGACAGTAAGGAAGTTAGGAACTTCCTAGGACTAGAGGGATTTAAAATTTTAATCGTGAATTTTGTTTTAATTTATTTTGCAAAATTGCTTTTATTGTTCATATTTAGAAAATAAGTGATTAAAGAGTAAATCATTTGATTTCTTTAAATTCTATTTATAGGCACATCATAAAACTGAATGATTAAATTATTTATAATGACACAAATTGAAGTAAATACTTATTCAAGCACTGGGAAATGAACCATCACTAATTCGTAGACATAAACGTTATTTTGCAATCTGGTAAAGGAGTCTTATAGCTTCCCTGAGAAATATCACTCCAGTTCATTCCACTTTTGACATGTACTGGGTGCTTTGTTTCTTTATAATCAGTTGAAATTAAACTTCCTCTAACTTCTACTCATTTGTTCTAATTGTGCCCATTAGAGCTACACAGTATAAATCTGTTCTTATCCAAATCGACAATTTATCAAATGTTTGAGGAGACGTTGCTTCCTCTTACTTTTCTGCAGGCCATCCTCGTGTTCTTCAGCTTTTCTGGCTTTTTAGCATCCAGAACCCTTGGTGGTTTGTCCATATCCCCCCTGAATCATGCACCCAGAGTTGAACACAAGGCCCCAGATGTGTTCTGGTAAACACAGATTGAAATGGCACTGTTACATCACTTATCTGGATACCAAACTCTATTAAAGCTTAAAACTGTATAGCTCTATACCGTATCTATAGCATACTACTGATTTGACTTAAGCTTGTGGCCAATTAAAATCCGTTCATCATTTTCACACAGACAACCATCCACCTAAACTTAAATTGTTCCATTTTATATTTGAACATCTGCTTCTCTTTCTCCCTGAATGCAAGTCTTAACTTCATGTTGTTTTGACTCTGTTAGCCTATAAAGTCATCCTATAATTGTTTCTATCATCTGGCGCTTTCTCCCTTATGCCAGCAGCGGTTTAACAAGCATTACTTATTTATCTTGCAAATCTTTGAAAATGTTGAGCATCCCTTTAAATATCACATTCTAGATTCAATACCAAATCATTTATCAAAAGTAAGCAAGTTAATTAATGCATCTTTATCCTGCTATCACATTTTATAATTTTAAGTTCTGCTGGTTCAAGTTTATTTCTTATTTATTTATTTATTTATTTATTTATTTATTTATTTATTTATTTTTATTGAATCAAAATTGACTATACATATTTTGGGGGTTCAACATTGAGATATGTTGATCAAATCAATATTACTAGCATATATATTGTTACAAATCGTAATTATTCTTTATGCCCCTTGTCCAATCTCTCCCCATCCCCTTTCCCTTCCCACTCTCCCCTCTAATTATGCTAGATTTCTTCTCTCCTGAAAGAATAATGGTTACTCTGTTGATTTGTTGCCTAGATTATCTGTCCAGTGCTGAGAGGTATGATCAAGTCCCCCAATATTCTCATAGAGGAGATGCTTCTTCTGTCACTCTGAAATGGGCTTCGTGGAGAGAGACATCCTCTTGTTTTCTTTATCTCTGCTGGTGACCCTCCTTGTGTCAATGGACTCCATTGGCTGGCAGACCATCTGCATGGTGGTTGTGGCATCTAGCCGCTTTTGCGGCAGACATGGTTATAGTGGTGGCCGTGGTGGGCCACCCACATGGAGGTGATGTTGTTGGCATGCTCCTTGGTGCTGGCGGTGTGCCTGGTTGTGGGGAGTATCTGGTCCCCGAATCCATGACTAAGGTTCCTGGGCAGGCCCCGAGGCACTGGCGTGGTGTGCCTGGTTGTGGGAGGGGAGTCTGGTCCCCTTCTTCATGCCCCGGGTCTCTGGGCATGCCCCGTGGCACTGACGCGGTGTGCCTGGTTGTAGGAGCATTTTTATCCTGCTATGACATTCTGTGATTTTAAGTTCTGCTGGTTCAAATTCGTTAATAATTATGTATATCTTGTGTGACCCACTTTTAGTCTTTAGGTTTATGAGATCCAGTGTGGTGGAGGTATGATGATCAAATACTTATATAAGAGCCAGCCTTTCTTTAGTTTTCTCTCTCCACCCTTGATAGAGGTAGTTTCTCCTTTCTCTGTTTCTATATGTATTTTAACTACAGCACTTTTGTGGCATAATTGATTGCTTATCTCTGTGTATGCTGTCTGAAAATAGAACATTGGCTTCATATTCTTTTTTGGTCCTGGTATCTAGCATAATGTTGACTTGATGTATAACAAACACTTTATAAATGCTTATTGAAGTGTATTGTTGAGCTGGATGTTTGACCTGGATTTGTTCTAAGATGCTTCTTAGTTTATGTCTAGAAAATTCGAGTCCTTGAAGCTGAGAGGGAGAAGAATGTTTATCACCTCACAGAGAAGGACAAAGAAATACAGAGACTCAGAGACCAGCTGAAGGCCAGATATAGTACTACCACATTACTTGAACAGCTGGAAGAGAAAACAAAGGAAGGTGAAAGGAGGGAACAACTGTTGAAATCCTTATCTGAAGAGACAGATATATTGAAAAAACAGTTGTCTGCTACGACTGCGAGACTTCAGGAACTTGAAAGCAAAGCCAGTACACTTCATTTATCACAGGTGCAAATTATTTCCTTAAACCAGATTTTTTTTCTCTCTGATACAATTTGTGATTCTTATGAAGTATGAGTTTGTTAAAACATGCTTGGCAAATGATGAAACAGTATAGTATGTTAACAGGTCACTCTTTTTTTAATAGCCCATTCTCTTCTCCATAAGCAAATATGGTTCCCTCCACTCCCCACATCGTTGTTTTTCCCAGAGGAATATTCAGAAGACAGAGTCCACTGCGTATCTATAAAAGCCAAGAAGATTTTGTTGAGCTCTTATTTCTATAGTTTGTATCATGAAAACGATAGGCTTCATTTCTTTGTTATTTTTCATAACAAATGAAATACAAATGTTTGAGATACACAATTATAATAGCAAGTGTGCTTTTTCTAACTATAATTGTGTTTTCTTCCCCTCTTTTGTTTGAGAGGCACTACTGTAGTAGAAAGAGCAAAGATTTGGAGGTGGGCAGGTCTGCATTCAGATCTTGTTTTGCCACTTGCTAGCTGTGTGACTCTGAACAAATTCCTTAACCTCTCTAGCCTTAGAGATGATGCTAGAGTTCACCAGACCCCTTTCTTAAACCTCAATTTCCACATCAATAAAATTGGGATAAGAATACTGATGATTAAATGTGATCATGCATGTAAATTGCCTAACATAGTGCCTGGCATATAGTATGTACTCAGTAAATGGTTACTTACTAATCAGACCTTTGATTCTTTTGGCAGTTTGGATATTTGAATAAAACTAACACAACTATTAATAACACCTATAGAAGAAAATCTATAGCCTTCAAATATATCTCAATGTTGTTAAGGTTCTGTCTAGTATTTTATCTCCCCTTTAGGGTAGATACTGTGATCAGACTTATATATTTGTGTATACTTTCATAGATAGGCAATTGAGCATTTCTACAAATGAGTTCAAAGAGGTTAAGCTTTTCTAGAGAATTTCCACAGAGCTGAAACTCATGAAGCATTATAGTCAAATCCAAAGTGGTTGACTAAAATCTTTCCTTGAAGTTCAAGAAACCACTTTTGAATATGAAATGCAAATCTTGGTAGAAATTATAATTTTAAAAAAGGTATTCTTATAATAATTTTGTGGGCTATCCAGTATTGATTTCTGTATTAGTCAGCATGTCTAACTGCTGTTAACAAACTACCTCCAAATCTCAGAGTTGTACATAAAAAATATTTAATTTTCCCTCATGTCACAGTCTAGTGCAGGTTGGTGTAGAGAAGGCTTTGCTCCACAGAGTCAGTCAGAGATCCAGGTTCCTTCCTGTAGTAGCCCTACCATCACTTAGGGTGGTGGCCTCTATATACAGCTATGAGACAGAGAGAACATGTGGAGAATTGCCTAGGATGGTTTTGGGGCCAGGCCTAGTATTGGCATATTTCATTTCTACCCACATTCCACTGGACAGAACTCAGTCACATGGCTCCACTAACCAAGGGAAGTCTGGGAAACATAGTCTACAGTATACCCAGGGAAAAAAGGAAAGGAGTTTGGTGAACTATCTCTGTCATAGTTTCCACTTAAAGGACTAAATTGAGAGAAATAAAGGGCTACATAGTAGGGTGAGTGAATAGAACATCTTTGGTGGAAGAAAATAATTAGAGTTTCCTTGCCAGCATTCACACAAATCTTTTTCCTTATAGCTGTTAAAAGACTGAAATACAGCTTTTTCTGAATTTGTTGGTTAGCTAGCCTAGGTACCTAACCGCCTACTTTCTTTTTTTCCTGTATGAGAAAATGAAGGAAAAAAGAGGAGAGAAATTATGTTTTGAACTAATTGAACTGTATGAACTAATTAATACAATTAGCAGTACAAAATATAATTCTAGAAAACAACTTTTATCTTTTATTTAAAAATTTAATATATTCCACATTTTATGAAAATACCCCATTTGTTTTGTTTTGTCTCCTTTTGGTGAAAACCACTGGGCTGTTCATATGTGCTAAGGGCTGTTGTGGTGATCTTAGGGTCCAGAGGACTTCAGAAGTCAAATTCGATCTGAAATCTCAGGATTTCTCATCTGCTTAGAAAGCTTCCAGGAGATCTTAATTCTGACAGCAGTCCTCTGCCAACTATCACCTGGCTTGTGGTTCACCAGCATGTACTAGATCTAGATTTTGGGAAGCCGTTGTGAAGTATATTGTATTATTGTGGAACTAAATATAATGAAGAATCTTCTATTGTTAAATGTATGATGTTAACTAATGTTGGGTTATTTACAGACTGTGCCTACAAACTGCTTCAACTCATCAATGAATAATGTTCATGAAATGGAAATACAGCTGAAAGATGTAAGTTCATTTCATTTTGTTAAGCTATGGGTAAAGAGGACTAATTTATTCTTAAATTTCATGGAAATTGGCAGCATTGGTGTTATGACTTGAAAAAAAATCTGTGGATGAAACAGGATTACTGAGTGGTTTGTGATCATCTTGTAATTCTCTTTCCAGACATTAAGGAGAACCGTTTCCGCTAAGCATGGCCTCTTTAGACTAGAAAGCCCTAGAAATCACCCATTGCTACCAAATACTTCAAGAACATTTCTTCTCCACCTAAATGTAATTTGTCCAACTATTTTATTATTATAATGCAACTTAATTTATAGTTTCTTCTCAAGGCTTCTTTTCTTCTCTTTTGTTTATCCATGCAAGGTGTACTCTTTAGTTTGAAACTAAAAGAACTTCTCTTGGAACTAGAATTTGCTTTCATAATTTGAAAAGGAAATACATTCTTTGTATACTCATTACTTTTCTCTAGAATTTCATATGAGGTTATTTTAGATACATGGTAAAGTGATATTATTTCAAACATATCTTAAATGGATTAATGCCTTTTGTTGTGAATTGAGTAAATTGAGGACTCAGGACTACGATTCACAGTGTATTTTTTCAAGTTTTAACATATGATATACAAAGTATTGTATAAAGTTCTTTAATTAGTAGGCCAATAGGTAGGTATTTTATTTTGGTTTTTTTTGGCTGCTGGCTGGTAAGGGGATCTAAACCCTGACCTTGGTATTGTAACACTATGCTCTAACCAACTGAGCTAACCAGCCAGACAAATAGGTAGATATTTTGATTCCAGAAATATTACTGGCATGTCTATCTTCCCTGCTCAAAGTATGCTCTTAAGATTCCTGTTTTATTTCATCTAAAATACTTTGAAATGTTACACGTTTATGCCCAATCTTTTTATTCTGTTTTGTCTCCCAGATTATGTGCTTCTCTGCTCTGTTTACCTTAGAAAGGCTTTTAGACAAATGGAGCAAAATTTAACCCAACTCACCTTCAGATGGTGGTCTAGAGCAAGCAATGTTTCTCAGACTCTTATGTGCATATGAATCTAGGAGATCTTCCTAAAGTACAGATTCTGATTTAGTAAGTCTGGGCTAGTGCCTGAGATTTGGCATTCCCAACAAACTCCTGGCTGCTGATGTTCCTTGTACACACTTTGGAAACAATTAATTTATGTTTGAATGGCAAGAAGTGGTTTAGCTCTAGTTTTCTCTTTAGAATCTCAGCAAATCTTTGAGACAGGAAGAAAAACTATAGAGGTAGGGTTTAGAGAAAGAGACATCTCACTCCTATAGTCCCTACACTGGCACATTGAGAGTTCAGCAGTTCTGTTCCTTCACCCCCTTGGAACTTCCTGTAGAAGCTTGTCCACCTATTTTAAGAATCAGTGTTTGTTATGCTAAAATAAGCCCTAAAAACCTATGTGTACTGTTCTTAAGGCCTAGCTGTATAATTCCTCAACTACCTTTTAGATTTGGCTGACATTTTGAAATGATTACACAGAGTTAATGCTATAAACATTGTTAAAAGTCAGTACTTTTAGTATTTAAGTAATATTTTAGTACAAAATAGATCAAACTAATTAGCTAAAAGGCAGTTTTTTTTGTTTTTGTTTTTTAAAAGATGACCGGTAAGGGGATCTTAACCCTTGACTTGGTGTTGTCAGCACCACGCTTAGCCAGTGAGCAACCGGCCATCCCTATGTGGGATCCGAACCCGGGGCCTTGGTGTTATCAGCACCTCACTCTCCCGAGTGAGCCACGGGCCGGCCCTAAAAGGCAGTTTTAATAGGCACTTCTTGCTCTTCATTCTAAAAAATCTGATTTTTAAAGCTAGAACTTAGGGAAGATAAATAATTATTTTTAAGTTTTTTATCTGGAAAAAAATCCAAGTTTACAGAAAAGTTACAAAAATGAGAAAAGTACATATAATGTCCCTGTATCCTTTACCAAAATTCAACCATTGTTATCCTTTTGCCCCATTTTGCATTCTGTTTTTCTCTTTCAACCCCCACCCACACACATACATACATGTTTGTCTTTGAACCATGTGAGAGTGAGTCACATATATCCACAACCCTTTAAAGCCTGCATACTTCAATATGTATTTCTTAAGAATGAGGATACTCTCTTACAAGACTGCAGCACAGATAGCAGCTTTAATGAATTTAGCATGGACACGATACTTCTATCTAATATACCATACCTACTCTAGTTTTGTCAATTGAGCCACAATTTTTATTCCTCCAGTACAGGCTGTCGTTTTAATCCTTGCTGGAATTTTTGCCCACAGAATGATTAATGGATCTCTGTTGAACTGGAAGGAGAGCTTTAGCATTGCATAGGACTTCACTTTTGCCCAGTCTTGTTCTACATCTTTATTGATAACATGGATGAAAATGTTAAATGCATGTCTAATGAATGTGTAGATGACACAAAGCTGGAAAAGGTAACTAATGCAATGAAGACTCTAAAGATTTAAAACTAATAACATTTACAATAGCCATTACATCCGTTCATTGGTACTATTACAGATAGGACAGAACAAACGCATACAGAGTGAGAGAAGAGGTGGGAAGTAAAGAAATGTGTGCTTCTTTATTGAAGTAACATCGCCATCATGTGGCCTTTTAGAATATTACCTCTTAAATCTTAAACCAACATGTTTTTATTTCTTATACTTAGTAATATACGGATAGGTTCTTTTAAAAGAAGAAAATTTTTATGACCATCCAATGTTGACTTAAATTGTTTGTATTAAAATACTTCTAAATATGGGCAAATGTAAAATTCAGTATACAATTATCTTTAGCTTCTGACACACTGTTATTTATAGGCACTTAGATATACACATGCTCTTTGAGTTGTATAATGCTACCACTCTTAACTAAATTTGAGTATGAGCCTGAGGTTCTCATGAGTCCTTTCTTTTGAAAGATGTAGAGGCTAAGAACCTCATTGGAGGTGACAGTGGATCCAAGTATGAGAATGACTTCTGCAGCCTATTTTGAGATAGGCCATGAATCCTAGCAATCTTCTCAATATACTAAGTTCACTGGACAATCAAGATGTTAATAGTTATATTCATTTCAGGCTGATTATTTTTCCCAACTTTTACTATGAAAAATTTCAAACATACAGAAAATGTTGAAAGAAAGTACATTGAGCAATCATTTGTGTACCACTAAGATTCAACAAGACAGACTCTTGAAATCAAATTACTGCAGTGAAAATAGCCATCCACAGAACTCTACGTTATTAAGGATGGATATACAATATCTCCATACAAAGAGAACTACTGTTATAACTGCCTGATGGTACAGAAAGAAAAGTGTCTGATCAAGTGGCTAGAGGGCCTTGGACTACTAAGTCTTTGATTTCAGAGTCTTCCTAATTAATTTCTAATTCTATAGAAAATAGACACTGAAAATCCTCTAAGCCCCATACCTAGAATCTTTGATCGTGAGTTCATAGGATGCTTGTAGGAGGAGCCTAACAAAAACCCGGAGGAACTCTCTAGACTTAAGAGTTTCCATACAGACAGATCTCGGCTATGAGGCTCAACTGACATTTTTTGTCAGGAAGCTTGTGTTTGTACCGTCTTTTTCTGGCATCCCTCAAGTATATGAAGTAATGTATCCTAGCCACCATATCAACCACTGATGATAATAAGTTACAGTTATTATCATTATATCAATTATTATATCAATAAATTACAGTTATGATGATAATTTATTACAGTTTTATTACATCCAATTACCTAGGATGAATCATGACACAAGAAGTATAAATTAAGCACTTGTAAAATTATAGAAATAGTTATGGTAGTTTCATTGCAAAGGAGCTTTTATTACATTTTCATATATTACTTAATGAATAATAGACTTTTGAAAGTTTTTGATTCTTTTTGATTCATTCCAAATTTAAAGAATAGAAATTCTTACCAGGAAGAAGACACCCTGATACACAACCAAAAACTTCAGGTTCTTTATATACTCTCCATCCTGGAACTGGAGGTCTGGAAAGAGGGGCTACTATAAAAGGAAACACTACATTGTATATTTCAGAGTGAAATCAAAATAGAAGAATTTTATCTATGCATAATAGATCATTTTAAGATTGAGGGGGCTATCTGCATAGTTCTAATAGTAGTCTGACTGAAATCCATAGTCCACTCTTAAAGAAATGAGGTTTGTTAATACTGTTATAGGTTCTTCAAAGTACAAATTATAGTCATGTGCTTCATAATGATGTTTTGGTCAACGGTCAACTGCATATACGATGGTTGTCCTATAAGATTTTTATAATGGAGCTGAAAAATTCCAGTTGCCTAGTGATGTCATAGTCATCATAACATTGTAGGGCAATTGCTTAATTTTTTAAATAAATTTTGTGTAGCTTAAGTGTACAGTATTTATAAAGTCTACAGTAGTATACAGTAATGTCCTAGGCCCTCACATTTACTCACCACTTGGTCAGTGACTCACCCAGACTAGCTTCCAGTCCTGCAAGCTCCATTCATGGTAAGTGCCCCATACAGGTGTACCATTTCTTATCTTTTATACCATATTTTTACTATACCTTTTCTGTATTTAGATATGTTTAGATACACAAATACTTACCATTGCATTACAATTGTGTTCCGTAACATGCTGTACAGGTTTATAGCCTAGGAGCAATAGGCTATACCATATAGTCTAGGTGTGTAGTAGGCTATGCCATCTAGGTTTGTGTAAGTACACTCTGTGATGTTTGCACAATGACGAAATCACCTAATGATGCATTTCTCAGAATGTATCCCAATCATTAAGTGACGCATAGACTGTATTATGAGCCCAGATTTTACAGCAAGTCCTGTGGGATATAAATGAATGGGTTGCAATCCCTGTTGTACAAAGCTAATGTTCTTTGAGGGAAAATCTGTCCTTATGTATATGCTAAAGAATAGTACTTACTGCATATCCCATCTCACCCCTTTAGAGTGAGATGCCAGCTCCTTTTTCAGGGTACCTGCAACAAATAGAGGATGATTCAAAAAGAATTAAACACTTATGAAAATCATTCTAGTATGTTTTACTTCAGGAAATTTACACCACGTACATCTTTTGTCAGGAAGCTTGTGTTTTTACCGTCTTTTTCTGGGAGGCCTCAAGTATATGAAGTTATGCATCCTAGCCACCACATCAACCATTGATGATAAGAAATTACAGTGCACCTAGGACAAATCATGACACAGAAGTATAAATTAAGCACTTGTATAGAAATAGTTATGGTAGTTTCATTGCAAAAGAGCTTTTATTACATTTTCATATACTACTTAATGAATTTTAGACTTTTGAAAGTGTTTGATTCTTGTTGAGTCATTCCAAATTTATTGTTCTACAGTGTGTGAAGAACTGTTAGATTCTTTTATAGCCTCTCCTCCTTTCCTAAGTGCTCTTGAACTAAAGTTTGGGGCCAAAGGACTTGCTTGGGTGCTTGATGATTGTTTCTCACTTCATGTTGTCATTGTTATCCCCAAACATTTATCAGGCAGCCACTTGCTATGTAAGCAATGAACTGGTGCACAGAAGTATGAAAAAATGCCTAAACAAGCCTGGGCCAAGCTCTCCAGGAGGCTCGTGATCTAGTTGAGATAAGAAATACCATTAGGACAAATCAAGGTCACTGTAAGATGCCAAATAGGTTGGATCAACAGTAAAAGTACTATTGGCTTCCAAAAGAGAGCGTGCTTGGTGAGGGCAATCATGGTGAGGAGCCTCGCAGACCAAGCTTGGACTCAGGGAACTTGATGAAAAGATGGAATTTTAGTGGGCAGGCATTACAGGAAGGGGTTCTTGGACACTGGGCCAAGGGAAGAGTTTAAGCAAGGCACAGAGGGTGTGCATAGTCGTGTAGGGAATAAGGCAGCAGTGGAGGAGAGAAGAGGCCAGGCTATAACTAGAACAGATAGGAGGACACTGGGCCAAGGGAAGAGTTTAAGCAAGGCACAGAGGGTGTGCATAGTCGTGTAGGGAACAAGGCAGCAGTGGAGGAGAGAAGAGGCCAGGCTATAACTAGAACAGATAGGAAGAGACAGATCATAAAAGTTATTAATGTCAATCTAAGGGAGGATAGTTTTAGTACATGGTGTTATAAAGCTTTCAAAAATTCTGTTCTCAGTATAATTAAAATGATTTATTACTTTGGGAGCCTGTAAAAGAGCTTAAATTAAACTAATTAGGGATAGCTATTTTGCCCCAAAATATAGAGTGATCATTGTATTAATTAACTGAAAACTTCTGGTGATGACCCACATCTGCTCTCACTGTCTAGACAGGGAAATCATCCTCCAACTAAGGATTTATATTGTTGAGCAAAAAATAAACGGACATATTTTTTCTTTTTTTCTCTTAATTGAAAAACAGTCAGGGCTTACCAAGACCCAGCAGTGATCATTGCTGAAGTAGGTATTCTTGTGGGGGTAGACAGGTCATCGCATGAGCAGCAGGGACTGAGGGCTCAGTACAAAGGAGCGTGGCCATCATGAAGGAGTGTGGGGTGCACATCACTATATGTGCCTCTCTTCTGAGGCCCTTCATCCATAACATTTTATATGCACGTGACATCAGGTTTAGATGTGCCTGCCCTCTTTGCACAAATAATCATTGAGACTTATTTCCCCAGAGAGTGAGAGGACAGTCCCATACTCTTGGACTGAACACCTGGCTTGAAAAGGAGAGAGGAGTTTTACTGTCATTGCTTGTTGGTGCTATATAAGCATTTTTAGTCTTTTTTTCTTTCTGCACAAATAATCATTGAGACTTATTTCCCCAGAGAGTGAGAGGACAGTCCCATACTCTTGCACTGAACACCTGGCTTGAAAAGGAGAGAGGAGTTTTACTGTCATTGCTTGTTGGTGCTATATAAGCATTTTTAGTCTTTTTTTCTTCCCCTAGCACCAGAAGATTCGTTGTCTTCTCTAGCTCTTAACTTGAATGTGCCCTGCTTTCAGAAGCAAAACTGCCACCTCTCCCTGGTAAAACGGGGGGTGGGAGGTGAGGGGAAGGGGTAGTGTGCAATTGCTGGGGATGGCTGGGCTGCCCTGGCAGACTCCTTTTGCTTTGCCTTTGACTGAATTTCCAAGGATCAAGTATTTAAGAACAGTGAGAGTTAGAGAATATACGAGTTCATCCTACTTAGCATTATCAGTAGGATTTTTTATTTTTAAAAAAGGACTTCATATATTTCACCTTGTTTTATCCACTAAAGTTAACGTAGCTTCTTGCATGAGTATTTGCTAATGTCTTGTCACCGATCAAATGCTGTGATCTGCACATGATATAGAGGTGATTTTTACAAGATTTTGAGCATTACGCTGGGTGGCCTGGTAGGCTGTCAGAACATACTCAGTTTCTTGAGGGGAAGATGTGATTGAAGTGAAAAACTAATATTTGCGGTAATAGTAAAGTAAATTACCTCTTTCTTACCTGCTAATTTGAACAGATACTACCTATTTCATTAATACTATCCCATCATCTGAATTATTTCTTTTAAAAGTATGTTATGCCCAAAAGCTGAGAATCCTCTCAGAAAAGCATGATCTGCCACTTTACAGAGCTTACAATCTGTTCGAGAGAAAAAACAAACACAGATAAAAAGCTGAAGATGGTTGGTGAGATAAAAATCATTTTAAAAAATGGGTAGACATTTATTAAAACTGAGTTATTAAGTACTGTATTAGTTTCCTAGGGCTACTATAACAAATTACCACAAACTTGGTGGCTTCAAACCACAGAAATGTATTCTCTCAAAGTCTAGAGGCTAGAAGTCCAAAATCAGGGTGTTGGCAGGGCCGTGCTCCCTCTGAAGGATCCGAAGAAGAGTCTTTCCTTGCTTCTTCCTGCTTCTGGTGACTCCAGGCCTTCCTTGGCCTGTAGCAGCAAAACCAGTCACTGCCTCTGTCTTCACATGGCTTTCTTCTCTGTGTGTGTATATGTGCGTCCTCTCCTCTTTTTATAAGAACACTAGTCATTGGATTTATGGCTCACTCTATTCCAGTATGGCTTCATCTTAACTAATTATACCTATAAAGACCCTATTTCCAAATAAGGTCACATTCTGAGGTTTCGTGTAGACATGAATTTGGGGGGACACTATTCAACCACTACAAGTACAAAATCCCTATACAAACAGGTGAATGATTCCAGTTTGGGGTTTTTAATTGGGTTATAAAAGAGGTAAATTATGAAAATTGGTGATAAAGAGAGAAGGTGGCTGTTTAAGTTTGATTCTCTGAGAAGAAGATACTGAGAAGATGTTAGGAATACAAATGGTTTATTGGGGAGCAAGATCTGTGAAAAGAAAAAGAAGGAAGCAGGAATGCCAGGGGGACCTTCAGACCATGAAGGAAACCTGACAGAGTCTCTGTCAGCACTGTGGGGAGCTCCAGAGAGACTGCTCCAGAGCAGAGTCCCATGCTGGGCAGAAGGAGCAAGGCTCTTGCTCGTTTGTTGGCGTGGGCCACCCAGTTCAGCTCAAAAGCTGAGAGAACCTTGGAAGAGTTAACAGCTGGAGACTGTCAGCTAACTACTCTCCCCGCTGTGGGGCAGAACTCTTTCAGGAAGGGGGATCTGTTCCACATCTGCCACAAAAGGAATTGTATTGTACAGAAAGTGATGTGTACACAAACATAAAGCAAGTTGTATGTAGGAGATAGCAAACAAATGAACTTAATATCATGTAAACTGACTTTGCTATGTTGCTATGTATTCTGAAGGTGTGTGGCATACCGGAGTTGCCCACAATTATTCTATGAGCCATAAGAGTTTTTATGTGTTGGAAAAGACTACATACATCACTTGGGACTCCGTTGCCCATTTTAAGATTTTGTTTTCTATTTTATTGTTGATTTTCTTTCATTCTCACATTAAGGCTCTAGAGAAAAATCAGCAGTGGCTTGTGTATGATCAGCAGCGAGAGGCCTACGTAAAAGGACTTTTAGTGAAAATCTTTGAGTTGGAACAGAAAACGGCAACAGCTGCTCATTCACTGCCACAGCAGACTGAATCAGAAGGTACTTATTGATACAAAAATGTTCTCTTGGGATAGGCCTACCTTTTCTAAAAGGAGTGATTCCCTAAATTTAGGTATTTATAGGTAAGTGTTAGAAAGTAAAATAAGGGCAAGTCTTCTAGCCCTGAAATAAGAAATACTGTTTTTGCAAGCTTTATTTCATAATGTTCCCAGATAAAAGGAGTGCAGAAGACACAGGTCAGAGGGAAATCTTTGGCAGCTCTGACGTCACATTAAAATTTCTCCACACGTGAATGTCCTTCCTCCACCTTCCAAGTTCTCTAGATTTTATTCCTCCCAGAGCTGGCCTTGTCACCAATTCTCTTTACTTTGCTTCCCTTCAGCACTTACTCATATCAACCCCATGTGAAGGAATATATTTTATGGATAGTTCTTCAGTCATTTGAATCTCACTATAGAATTCAGATCAGGTTTTTTATTCATGATTTGTCTTTTTGCCAAGTGCTTTGCCATTTCCCTAACATTGACCTCAGTTGAGTTTCACAGCAACCCTAAGAGGTAGGGAAGGAAGGGTCATTATTCTCATTTTCAGATAAAGAAGTCGGTTCAGCAGTTCTAGATGACAAGCTAGGGGAAAAAAAAGAAACCCCCACGCAAAGCACTCATTAAAAGACTGACAACCCTAAGAGGACTGAAGCCTTGAATTATATAAAGAAAAAGCTAAAAAAAGGGGAGCAAGACTCATAATCTTGGAGCTTCACATTTGAATATTTAAAATGAATCTAATGCCAGAAAGAAAATATAAAGGGAATGTCTCTAACACTCATTAAAAGACTGACAACCCTAAGAGGACTGAAGCCTTGAATTATATAAAGAAAAAGCCAAAAAAAGGGGAGCAAGACTCATAATCTTGGAGCTTCACATTTGAATATTTAAAATGAATCTAATGCCAGAAAGAAAATATAAAGGGAATGTCTCTAAAGATAATTCAAAGCTGCTTAGCCCTAATGGACAAAGTTACTACTGTAGTGCCCTTATATGTTTTTCTGTACATGAAAGTAGGATTTTAGTTATGGGCTAGGTCTAATTTTTTTCTTTGGTAATAGTTCTTTCTCTCTATTCCTTCTTCCTCTCTTTCTGTGTTTGTTTTATCAAAGTAATATAAGCATTTGTTAAAATAATATAATAATAGTACAGAAAGGCCTTGACCCACCTTTCCCATCTCAGTCCCTATTTCCCCCTCTCATCAGGGTAGCTGCTTTTAATATTTCTATTTTTAATTTTGGTATTATCTCCATACCTACAAATAATGAGCTTATATCCCTATTTGTTGATTTATCTTCTTTAGACATGAGTGACTTCTCCTGCCTACAGAATGTTTATAGTACTGTTTTTAGTTCTTCTCTTTGTTAGTTTGTAACTTCAAATATAATGTACCTAAACTTCTGTTTCTTATTCCATCAAATACCAACCTTAGTGCCTATCTCTTGACTCTTCATTTTGTAAGCTGAGGAAATAGTGTGATCTCCTTTATAGAAACATGTTTGATGTTTCACTTTTCAAGAATGTTATCTGCTTTATAAAGTGAGTTGTGCCATAATGTTGTTTGTCATAGATTATCTTCAAGAAGAGAAGCAAAATTACTATAGTCATCTCTTGGCAAATGCAAAAAAAGATCTTGAGGTTGAACAACAGACCATAACTCAGTTGAGATTTGAACTTAGTGAATTTCGAAGAAAATATGAAGAGACCCAGAGTGAAGTTCAAGATTTAAATCAACTGTTGTGTTCACAAAGAAAGGCAGATGTACAACATCTGGAAGATGATAGGCATAAAACAGAGAAAATACAAAGACTCAAGGAAGAGAATGATATTGCTAGGAAGAAGCTTGAAGAAGAGAAGAAGAGATCTGAAGAGCTCTTATCGCAGGTGAGCTTAACGAGTAAGCTTATCCATGATTCATAATTTAAAGTTTTTACCAAACACTTACTAAGTGTCAGGGACTATTTTGACCACTAGGGAACCAGTAAGGAACAAAACTAGTTCCTGCTTCCACATGGGAGTTTATATGCTAGAATGGAAACAGACCCATAAACAAGTACCTAAATAAACAAGTATACTAAAGAAAATAAAACAGGGTGATATGACAAAGAGAAATTGGGGGCCAGCGGAGCCTTCTCTGAGATATCTTCAGAGGAAGACCTGATGACAGGAAGGATCCAGTGAGGTAAGTGACTTTCTGTGGGAATTCCCTCCAGGTAGAGGAAATCACACACACAAAGGCTCTGAGCAAGAAGGAGGTAGATGTGTGGGAGAAGCCAAAAGAAGATGTGAAGTAGTGAGAGGAATCAAGGCGGATTCCTAGGCCAGCATCTTCATCGTGATGATATTGTGCTCTAGTGAATTCACAGGGCACCTTCCATGTTCTTTTTATACTCACAGCTCTATGCCAAGACACCTTAGTAATGTTGGAGTAACTAAGTTAGGTCGTTAGAATTGGATACTATTTGACAGAACTCATAATTTAAATATTACATGATGGCAGCATGGAATATTGGAAAGAACATTATTTGGAGTCTATATCTGGTCTCTAGCCCAGGATGTGTGGCCTTAGGCAAATCGCCCATCTTCTCTGACTCACAGGTTACTCATTTGTCAAATTAATAACCTCTTCTTGCTCCATAGGGCTTTTATGAGGGTCAATTGAGAGAATGTAAAAGGGCTTTGTAAAGTAAACAAGGTAAATCGTAGTAATTGCTACCATTATAATAGTAATTTTAAAAATCCTCCAAAAGTTGAGGGTGGATGCAGTTAAGAGTCTATATATTTGCCTTTTCAGTATTTACCACCCTCACTTCTGTCTACAGCTGTGAGCAGTGATATTTGGGGACAATTAAGTAGAAATGATTAAGAATTGTGCTCCAACTCTGCATCCAAGGAGGCAAGGTGCTGCCAGCTTTGTTCTCCTACTCAGAAACGTTAGTAGATGTCAGAAAGGGGGTGTGGCCACTGCAGAATTCAGTGCTGTTTAGCAAACGGTTGGGCAGGTGCCTCAGGGAACTCCCAGCCAGGGTGGTGCTGCTCAGCTGCTTGCATAGCCAGCCATCAAAGACCAGCTGGAGTGAGTCACCCCGACTAGCAGGTGTTGTCCCGATTAGAGATGTGAGACTTATATGAGCTTCTCACGCATCCTGGGTCAAGCGATAAAAGGTCAAATGTGACAACATTGGCTCTCTCTCCATCCCACAGGTCCAGTTTCTTTACACTTCTCTGCTAAAGCAGCAAGAAGAACAAATGAAGGTAGCTCTGTTGGAACAACAGGTACTTCTAAGTTCATTTCAGCCTGTTAGAAAATGGAATTTTTCCTTCATGTTTACACTATTCAGTGGAGAACATTTGGAAAGTGGTGGAAAATGTTTTTAAAAGACTAACAAAAAATATTTAAAAAGACTTTGTGCTAGCCATGTATTCTTATTATCCTTAGGCTAAACCAGAATCTTTGAAGTGTGATGGAAATTTTCTTGACAGGTAGATGTTGGCCTTGGCAAATTTTGCTCTTCCCTGGTATCTGTAGTTCCTACTCCAGCCTAATAGGATCTCCTAATAACTTCAAGCAGAACTCAGAGAGACACCATTTATTCTTACGATGTGGAGCAGAGATCCTTAGTATATTCCAAACTAGGGAATAGCCATCTATATCCCTTCTCCCTCTTTTCCCTGAAAAAAGTGGAACGGGGAAGAATCATTCTAACCAGCAACTTCTTAAGCTGCTCTTCCCTGATCTATACCTCAAGCATTGGCTTTGCTTCTTGGATAAATCAAACCCATTAGCTTCTTCATTTATCAGCATCTCACTGTGCTCAGGTGAATTCTTGCTATAATGTTACAGCTAATGTTTTCTTGTGCTAATAAAAAATGCAGGCATCCAGTCAAGAGAACTAGACAGTATATACCAGCTGTAATTGTCTTGTCCTGGGTATTTTCCAGATGCAGGCATGTACTTTAGACTTTGAAAATGAAAAACTTGACCGTCAAAATATGCAGCATCAATTGCATGAAATTCTTAAAGAGCTCCGAAAAGCAAGAAATCAAATAACACAGTTGGAATCCTTGGTGAGTATGGAATGGTTAAACTGAAAATTTCTTCTTTCTCTTTCTGCCATCTTTCCATTTGTATATCAAATCACTTCCCAAACTGGGAGAATACAGTTTAAAGGACAATTACTTATATCTCAAATATAAAGGGCAGTTGTATATTTATACATATATATTTTTTGAGCATCAAAATTCAGAGCACTAGAAAGAGGGACATTGTGCACTTCTTGATAATGATTACATTACTGGTGTCTGGGATCATTCCTGTCCCCACTCCTGGGTGTTGTGATTCTAGAGGCACAGTGCCTAGCGCGGGGGAGAGAGTGCAGAAGGGAGGACAGTCATAGAATCCTGAACTGAAATTATGTTTTTCTATTAAGAGAGAAAGAAAGAAATGCTGTATTTAGGCATAATAGACTATTATTGTTAATATGATTTTTAGGCATATTGAGTTAAGCACATTTTGTGGCTTTCCCCCAAAACAATCGTTTAAAACATAAACCTTTTAAATAACATTGTTTCAATGAGGAAATGGTTTTCACTTATTTTCATCTTACTAAAAAGCTTTTGGACCAAACTTGTTGAGGTCTATGTTTGTGTGTGTGTATAGGTCCCATTAGTACAGATTTTATGTATTACCCTAGTACTGCAGAATATTTGGAGATAGTAAAATGTTACAAATATAATTCCTCAGTTTTCAAAGGAGAAAAAAGCAATCATTAAAAAAATCATTTGTAATTTCTGTATGAATAAAAGAAAGAAAATATATTTTTGGCTCTACAGTATGTCATTGATTGTGACCATTTGAAATTAAAATTTATAATTTATTTCTATTAATGACTGTTTTTCAAAGTATAAGAAGCCAAAGAGTATGTAAAAGAATTTGTAATTGTCCTGTACTTTTCTTTATGTTCCTGCTGTCTACCATCTTCATAGTGTGCTGTAAAATACTCATTTTTAAGCTTTATTGACTATTCTAAATTCTTCAGGAAAAACATGGAAAAGGAAAGTATCAAAGGTATTATACAACTTCTTAGTCATTTCTGTGTATAACCTGTTTGATCTGCTACAATTCTTTGCTGCTCTTAATTCCATGTAATTCTTTATTATTGGAGTTTCCCCTGTGTTACAAAATGCAAATTTAGTCAGCCTCGCACACAGGCCTACCTTTATATTTGTCTCTAAGCGTCTTAATGAAACCCATTCATATAAACACCCAACTCTAGTACTTCCTGGGTAATTATAGTAGTTATCTGGGTAATTCATAACCACCTCATTTATGACCACCATAACACTGATGAGCAGATTCAAAAGAAAATCTGTTATATTTGTCTCTAAGCGTCTTAATGAAACCCATTCATATAAACACCCAACTCTAGTACTTCCCGGGTAATTATAGTAGTTATCTGGGTAATTCATAACCACCTCATTTATGACCACCATAACACTGATGAGCAGATTCAAAAGAAAATCTGTTTGCGTGGCTGAAGCAGCTAGAGTATCTACGGAACAGTTACAATTGCTGAACAATGGGCCTTATATACAAATGGTGTTCATTTCAAATTTATTTTTCAGAAGCAGCTTCATGAGTTTGCCTTCACAGAGCCATTAGTCACTTTCCAAGGAGAGACTGAAAACAAAGTAAAAGTTGCCTCACCAAAAAGTCCCACTGCTGCACTAAACGAAAGCCTGGTGGAATGTCCCAAGTGCAACATACAGTATCCAGCCACTGAACATCGAGATCTGCTTGTCCATGTTGAATACTGTTCAAAGTAGCAAAGTTATTCTTTGTTTTTGTGTCAAAAGATTCAATACTGTATCTTATGTCAGCTTATGGACATTTTGAATTACATATTTCATCTCTCTCATAAGAAACTGCCTACCGACCTTTGACACTCTGGCATGTGAGTGAATCATTGTATTTTTTTTTGGCTGCTTTGCTTTTTCCTTGGCAGTGATACCTCCCGTAGATGGTTCATCAACAGGCTGCAATGATAGAATGTGGGGAGCACTGTCTGCTGAGACTACTAACGTTTTGCACTGTTAAAGTACTTGATGAAGAAAAGGTAGTTCAGGTTATTGCTTGTGGGTTAAATCTTTTGCACTGGCAAGCCAATATTTTATGTGTTGTGGGTTTTAAAAAAATCAAGGGTAATTAGCCAAGGATTTTACTGTTTTAACATTTTTCATCCAAGCACTCAGTTAAACCTTCAATTCCAGTTTTGATGTTCATCGTTAAAAGATGGTGATACTATTTTCATTTTTTTCCCTTCCTGTTGTAGAACGGTTATTAGAAAAGTTGGGAATTTTCTTGATCTTTATCACTGCTTACTGTTGAAACTGTAAACCCAGCGATGTTCTAAGTGTAAAACAGATTCTGTTTGAGGAATACTGTTAAGTAATGACACACAATATTTTCTCTCATTATCTGGCTAACTTTAACTTGAATTTCATTAAAACATGTTACTTAGCTAAAATTGTTAAAATGAACTTTAACAAAACCATACAGCCCTCTCCTTTGATTTGCAGGTATTTTATTTATTTATTTTTGGCACTCTTAATGCTGGGTAATGTAATTATTAGGTATTTATCTGAATAGATATTTTTATACATGGTTTGTGTGAACCCAAATTTTTTTTATTTCTTCAGGTTTTCTAAAATGCTTAACACTGGGCTACTGTTAGCAATATAAAGGAGAAAAGAATAAAGTGATTTAATAAGTTTTAATATGTCTAGTATATGTGTATATACATAGGTATTCTAAGATATGTACCCCAAGAGGAGTGTCAAGGGTTGCAGATTAACATATAGTGTAAGGTGATGTAGTAGTTAAGAATACACCAGAACTAGAAACTGCGTGAAGGAGGTAGGAGTAGGTGCTTTCAAGCATCTTTGTTGAACGGACAACAACTCTTGAACAATAAATATGATTCTGAGTTATTTGTTACAAAGGCAAAACAGTAAGCATACTAAATTGTAGTTTTTTTGACTGTAGAAATTGTACAGATCTGTTTATGGAAATAAAATTTTGCCTTTACTGTTAATAATCCTAGTCTCACAGTATCTTCACAATTGGACACAAGATATAAAATGCTGTTCAGCCAGATGATTCTTTTTCTGATCCACAATGTCATGGCAAAGACTGTAGTATTAATTCATAAGTATACACCATAAGGAAGTTGCTCCCCTTACAACTCTTAAGCAAGCCAGGTATTATCTCTAAGTTATAGATGTGGAAAATGCCTTGTCATTCAGTGAGTAATGGTGTCAGAGCAGAACCCAGGCCTTTAGTCCATGCCTGTATGATCAAGAGATGTGGTCTCACGGGACAACCAGCCAGGATATACATAAACTGTAATAGAAGTTCCAGCCTTAGAACCCCTGAAATTTGAGTCCTAGAGGTACAGGGTGATCTCCTGGAGTTTGTTTCAAGATCTTTACTTTCTGTTTTCACTGGAGGGCTGTAGTTAGGTGCTTTCCCTGCCCACTTCACCAACATCTGTGCACCAATATCAAAAATGTACTTTGGAAAAATTTCAATGAAATTGGGCAATTCTCCTGTGGAGCTCTCCCACTGTACAGGAGCTATTATACATTTCTGATTAATTGATTATTTAAAGTAGGAAGAATTCTTTCCTGGTTCATGTTACTGAAGCAAGGATCAATAAAAGGCATCCCCAAGACCCGAACATTTTCAAGGTTCTCATAATTAAAGACGAGTTTCTCTTTCCTTCACTGTCAACCTTTTTTCACGGCAGATAACCACCTACCCATAGGGCATGTTTAGTTCTGGGGAACTATAAACTGTGTACCAGAAACTGCTAGATGCTTAATCTGCTTATATTCTTAGCTCTTCATTGCAATTCTATGAAGTAAGCACTAGCACCAGCACCATTTTTCAGATGAGAAAACTAAGGGTTACAGAGATTAACAATTTGTCCAAAATCACCACTAATAAATGGTGAAGACAAGATATCAACTCAGCTCAGTGTGTCTTGCTAATGTATGTTCCTTCATATCCTATTAACTTGATGTTGACAGTCACAGAACCTCAGAGATACAGGAAGCAAACTGTTTTGAATGCTGAACTATCAGAGGAGATAACAAACTAAAGGTTTTAATGGAGAAGAAAAAAACTTTGCTGTTTGATTCACAAATTATGCAGAATAGCACAGGTATTACTGTGCACAGATTATGAAGGTGTGCATTTTCACTTGAGTTTTATAAGCTGGGGGAAGGGAGGGGCTGATAATAGAGGATTAATAAAAAAAACTCCAGAGTATATTATTATCAGTATAAATTTAACCTGTTAATTAAATTTGAATCTGTTAAATTTAACAATATGTTGCATATATGCTATAGTAATAATTTCTTTCCTTGAAGAAACTTTATGGAAATGATTCTGTTTATTGGTGATCGAAAGAGAAGTACATTAATTTTTAAATTTTACTTTACTTCTTTGGCAACTTCAGAGAAGCATGTTACTGTGGAAAGACCTTTGAAATAGGAACTGCCAGACCCGGGTTGAAATTCTGGTTCTGACTTTGAGCAAGTCACTTAACCTCCCTAAACTTCAATTTCCTCAGCTCCAGAGTAGGAATAGTAATGCCTGCCCCAGCTATCATCCAAGGATGTTATAAAAACAAAAATCCAATTTATTTTAGTGGCTCCTGTATTAAGTTTTTAGTGTCCCAGGTGATATATTAAACATTTCATATGTGGGCTGGCTGGTTAGCTCAGTTGGTTAGAGCATGACCTTGTAACACTAAGGTCAAGGGTTCAGTTTCCTATACCAGCCAGCTGCCAAAAATAAAGAGAGGCATATAAAGAGTGCTCATTACACTTCATATGTTTCGTGTCATTTTATTTTCGGTAACACTATATGGAGTTTCTATAATTGTTCTGATATATAGAAGAGAAAGCTGTGTTTAGAGCACTTAAATCACTTGTCCAAGGTCACACAGCAAAGAGAGTGGCAGAGTTGGTATGTGAACGAGAGTGTGTCTGCCTCTACAGACTGAGCTATTAACCTTACATTATGCTACCACTTGTCTATCACCTTAAAGCCAGGAAATGTACATAACATCACATTACAGATGGGAAATGCCATCCAGGATTACTTTTATTTTTCAGCAATGACTATAGCGTGAACAGGGATGGAGAGAACACGAGAGAAGAGAGTGACATTATCTGCCCCAAAGAAACTATTCATTTTATTCATCTATTGTAACCACATTAACCTTATTTGCAACTAGGATCAGTGCAAATGCATGAGAATGCACATAACAGAAAAGACTTACACCATTAGGACATTTACTGTTTTTTTTACAAAAGAAGTATGGAATCAGACAATTCCCGTTTCGATCATCAGTTTCACATAGGACTCTGGGCCCTCATCTCGGTAATTCAATGTTGGTCCACTCCTCATGCTCACAGTGGGGCTGCTGCAGATCCAAACAAACATCACAACCTAATAAGACTTTTCTTTAAAGCCATGAAGAAGACAGCTAGCCAGGGTAATGAGCACTCCCTATATGCTTCTCTCTTTTTCTTGTAAAGTCCACTTATTGGAAATGGAAATAGCTGTACAGAAACTCCATAATACACAATCCTCACATCTCATTGATTAGAATTGGATACGTGGTGTATTAGAATGGGCCAGGCTAGGCTTTGGTAACAAGTAAGCCCTAAAATCTCAGTGGCTGAACACAACATAGGTTTATATCTTGCTTGCCTCACAGTCTTTGTGGGCTGGTGGCCCCCTTTCATCTTATAGTTTTGCCATCTGTGACATATGACCTCCAAGGTCACTGCAGGAGGAGGTGGGCGGAGACACGAAAACGTGCATCAGTTCTTTACTGCCCCAGACTGGCAGTGACACATCCCTGCTCACATTCCTATTGTTCGGAACTTCGTCTCCATGCCCCCCCCACCCCCCACTGCAAAGACTGCTGGGGAGAACAAGCTACCCAGGAAAGGAGACAGCATGATGGACACATTGCCTCATGTGCCACACATGGCCACCCCTACATGTCAAGAGGAAGGGGCTTGGGAATGGCTATTGGGTGGGAGGCTGCCCCTCCAGTTCATTTCCAACTGCTCCCCCACCAGGAAGCCTAGTTGAAGATGGGGAAGGAAGGCTCTCCTTCTCTACACCTCCCTCTTCCACAGCACTTTTCTCTCAATGTTATAGTCATTCTTCACTTGCCTGTCACTCTCCGCCACCCCCACCCCTGCAGATGGTAAGGCTCCGCAGGTCGGAGGTTGTCTTCCCTTCCCATCTCTCACGCCTAGACTAGGGTCTGGCATGTAACAGGTACTCCATATTTTTAGAGCAAGTGAATGAGGGTCTTTTAGAGGCAATGATTTCAATCATTTACATCTAAGAAATTCTGGCTTTTATCTTTAGAATATCCAGTGCAATCACTGAGGAACAAGTATGATTCAACCTTTAAACAAACATGACTATAAAGCAGATTTCAAGAATGTGGCCATAAATAAAGTAAATATTTGATCATTAACATCAACCTACGTAAAACATTTCTTTAAGGAAACTGACTTTTGGAAATCCATTTTAAAATACCTGGCTTTGAGACTTCAACCAAAACTGCATCTCCAAAATTGAAAGTGTCGAGAGTTTCTTGTTTGTCCAGAGAAGGCATCACAGTGATGGCCACTAGGGCAAAAATATATAATGTTTTTATATATTAAAAAATAGAGTAGTTTGATATACACTCTTTAAGAAATTTAATGAAGGAAGCCAAATAAGCGAGGTGCTTTCTCAGCTGGGATTATCACCACTATTATAGTTGAAATATATTGAGGACTAGATCGGTGCCAGATACTGTGCTGAGGACCCTGCACACATCGTCTAATTTGATCTTCTTAGCAGTGTCATGAGGCAGGCACTATTATCATGCCCTCTCTACTGAGTGGTAAGATAAGGTTCAGAGAATTTACTAATTTACCCAAGATCATATAGCTGCTAAGGGGGTGGTGACAAAAATTGAGAACCAAGCTGTCTGATTCCAAATGCAACAGCTTTTAACCATTAGGCTTTATGCTTGCTCCCAGATTCAGGGTACTGGAAACAAATTTGGCAGGTGTCTTGCTTGTCCATTACAGTGGAACAGCACACCCCAAAACCTAGTAGCTTAAAACACAAATGTATTACTACCTCTTATGGTTCTGTGGATTGACAAGGTGCCACTGGGCAATTCCCTCTTAGTCTCTCATGCAGCTTCAGAGAGTCTAATGGCCCAGCTTCAGAAGTCACACAGTGCCACTTCCACTGCTGTCTATTACTTAAAAATGGGACACAGGACCAGCCTAGAATCAAGGGGAGAGGACTACACACAAGGGGATGAATACCAGCGCGCATCCTTCGTTGGGATCCATCCTGGAGATGGGCTTCCATGCAGGCAAAGCCGAATGAGCAAATGGAGAGTCCCTCACATGAGCTCAGGACCTTAGCTCTTAGAAACGACTTTCACATCCTCTTTCTGTTTGCTCTTGTGTGGCCTGTGCAGTAGGCAGGCCAAGGTCAGGACTAGATCTCTAGTTTATAGATATAGACACTGTCGCTCAGTGAAAATAAGTCCCACAGCTTCTAAATGTGGGAGTGGGATGTGAACTTTGGTCCTCTGACTCCTAGCCCTGCAAACTTTATAGAATTTTCCAAGCTGCCACTTGGAACGTAGAACAAAGCAGGAAGGAGACAGTCTCCATGAGCACAAAGTAATCAGGAAAATAAGTCCCACAGCTTCTAAATGTGGGAGTGGGATGTGAACTTTGGTCCTCTGACTCCCAGCCCTGCAAACTTTATAGAATTTTCCAAGCTGCCACTTGGAACTTAGAACAAAGCAGGAAGGAGACAGTCTCCATGAGCACAAAGTAATCAGAAGGAAGGAACCATGGACTGACATTTAAAAAGAAAAAGGAAAACACAGTTGTAATAATTTTAAAACATGATAATACCTACTATAACAGATAGTGAGGGATGGACACGCATCTACTGCTCACAAGACTATGATTTGGTGCAAAC